CTCAGGGCTTTAGATGTTGGGAGGTATTTTTAACTTATGAACGATATAATAAAAGCCATTTCATTGAATTTCAAACAGAATATACAAGATGTTTACATTATTGATAATTGCGCAGATGTTCTACATTCCATGGATGAGGCTATGTTTTTCCACCCATATTCTCAATTCTATAAATTATAGGACGAACCTCTTTATTGATGCGATAAGGACCCTCCCAGTTGAGACGAAGCGTTCCTGAACCATGCTCTTTAGAGGATGAAAATACTCTTCGAAGTACCAATTCATTCAAACGAAATGACTTCTCTTTCACTTTCGAATTGTAATATCTAGTCATTTTCCTTTAATAAACGACCAATTTTGCTTGAAAATCGTCCCTCCTTTCTTCAAGGAGATCGAGTTCACATCTCCTTATTTCATCGTTTGTTATTTCATTGAAGTGTATTCGACGAAGAGACGGCAAACCCACTTCAACTGGGCTCATAGCCTCGGCCTCGTAGGCCATAGAGAATGGGGTCTCTCCTGTAACAGTTCTTCGTAGTTCTGATAGCCCAGAGTACTTGATTGTTTTGTTAACAGTTTCGACCTGCCCATTTGTTTGGGGATGATGTGGGGAGGAAAAATGCTTATTGATGCTTAGTTCCTCACACAAATTTTTAACTTTCTTGTTGTCAAATTGTCTACCGTTGTCTGATACAATTGAATAGGGAATTCCAAACCTACAGATGATGTTCTTCCATAGGAACTTGGAAGTGTTGGCCTCAATAATTTTGGCAAGTGGCTTGGCTTCTACCCATTTGGTGAAATAATTAATGGCGACAATCGCGAAACTATAGTTTCCTCTCCCTTTGGGAAGAGGTCATATAAGATCAATTCTCCACTTTGCAAATGACCAAGGGCTAGACACAACATTCAACTCTTGAGAAGGTTGCATTTGAATAGTAGCGAAGCGTTGACACTTATCACATTTTCTAATAAACTGCTGCACATCATTTTTCATGGTAGGCCAGTAGCATTTATGTCTCAATACTTTCTGTGCTAAAGATCATCCTCCAGTGTGGTTCCCACATACCCCTTCATGGATTTCCCAAAGTACATAATTTGCTTGCTCTCCTCCAATGCATTTGAGCAAGGGTAGTGAGAACCTACATTTGTATAGTACATCGTCCTGGAAGATGAAGTGGGCAGCTCTCCTTCTGAGCCTTCTCCTTTTCAAAGGATAGGGTCTGGTCTTTGATGAAGGATATGATTGGCTTCATCCAAGATAGAGTGTCATCAACCCAGGTAGAAGGACTAGAAAGATGTTCTATAGGCACAATTGTGAGCAATTCGAAATCTTTACTGCTTGCTAATTTAGATAGTGTGTCGGCATGGACGTTCTCAGAGCTTGGGATTTGGACCAGTTCGAACCTTTCAAAGGATGGGATGAAGTCCATAACCAATTTCAGGTATGCTGTAATAGACTTATCTCTAGTTGAAAAATTACCATAAACTTGACTCACTACTAGCTAGGAGTCACTACTGATGACGAACCTCTTCACTTGCACATCTTTGGCTAACTTTAGGCCAGCGAGGAAGGCCTCATATTCTACTGCATTGTTGGTGGCTTTGAACCGAATCTCACAACACAAGTAAGCTTATGTCCCTCTGGACTGACTAAGACAACTCTTGCTCCTGACCTTCTTTCCTGAGGATCCATCAACTGAAAGGCTCCAAGTTAGAGGTTCAGCAAGTTCCATCTCTTCTTCCATTTCTGGAACATGAGTGAATTCTGCCAAAAAACCAACTAAAGCCTAACTCTTGATGGTAGCCCTGGGCTTGAAAACAATGTCAAATTTAATAAGTTCCATAGCCCACTTCAGCAACCTCCCTGAAGCGTCCGGCTTCTGCAGCACTTGCTTGAGGGGGAAGTTCATCAAAACATGTATACTATGAGCTTGGAAATATGACCTCAATTTTCTTCAGGCTGTCGCCAAAGAAAGAGCTAACTTCTCCATGAGGCTCCATATAACTTACGCATCGGAACGACCCCATGAGGTTCCATATAACTTTCCTCCATAATAGTACTCATGAGATAACTTTCCTCCGTGATTGGTTGATGTATCAACCTCAACTTCCCTTTCTTGGGGAGCTTCAATCCTAGTATGATGATATCCAGCCATTTGACTTTGGACTTCTTCTTCTTCGTGATAGTATTCCTGAGGGTCATGAAATGCATTTTCAGGGGCTACATATAGAGGAACTGGATAACCTCCTCGGCCCTGCATGCTCATTAGCATTTCATGCATAGTCATGTTTTGTTGGGTTATATTTCTCATGTTGGCAATCATTATGGCCATTTCTCTAGTGAGTCTAGCTGTGACCCTACCTCCGCCTTTGGACCCACCTCGTCTATGTTGTCGGGGTCGTGGGCAAGCAGCTGGGGCAATTCGTGAGGGTTCCCCCTCTTCAAAGTGTTCCCTCGTCCTATGAGGTGCACTTTCATTACCACTTAAAACTCATTTTTCACAAACATTTTTATTCAACCAAATGTTCATTTCTTCAAGGATCAAATAAGTATCGGATTTCTGGACTTTCCAACGGTTCTTTCTTCAAGAACTCACCTTTTTCAATGGAAGTTTCTAACGATCCTTTCTTCAAGGACACTTCCTTTTTCAAGGGTTTAAACTTTATTGCCAAAATATTTCTAGCTAACTTTTTCCGACAGGTATTTTCGTGGTTAAATGTAGGATTTCCCACAAACGGCGCCACTCTGTTGATCACAAAAAATGTGCCACAGATGTCGAGCCCACTCACGCCAAGTCAAGCACTATTCCGAAGTGTTTCTACCGAAGTAAAGGCGGTAGCAACGAGAAAATGGACGCGAGGGGCACTTTGAGACAAGAGACAAAAATGTTCAGACTCTGACGGGTGAAACAAAGGCGATCGCGCTGACAACGATCACCCGACAAAAACCAAACTAATCTATGTAGTAACAAACATGGATATGTGGAATGATAGATAAAATGCGTATATAAGTTGATGTCTTGTATGTTGAGATTTGTAACTCATAAACATGTAAAGAAGATAGACAATAAGCAAAGTGTGTATATTTCACTCAAGAGTTCGTGTATTTCGAGTTTCAATTATCAATTTTCCAACCAACAACCCAATCAACCCCCTTCCAGTTACAAAGAGAACTCATTTGTACAATCTTTGCCGACGTGGTGACCGTTTGATCAGAACCATGTGGCATCATCTCTCTAATTGAGGCCTCACATTACTGTCTATTCATACAATTAATACATTGATAAGGGGTCCACCGCCATATACAATAGGCTGACACATTGACAAACTTTATGACAAGTGTTACATTAATCACTTCTAAGAGATCTTCAAATCTATTACAAGAAACATCGTCGGCTTCATGAGCTTTGGACGAGTTTGAAAGCCTCGAAGTGATCTTTGAGATGGTTCTCTAAGTGGAGGTTTCAGCTCTTTTCTTTGCTTCCTTAGGCAGTGTTTCAGCATAAGTTGTAGTGCTTCGTCTTTAAGGTAATGCCTCAGCATGGATTTCAACCTTGTAGTGCAAGGATTTCAATTTTGTTTGATTTCTTCATATTTTGACCTCATAGGTCTTTGTTTGTCTTTTTTGTTGACTTTCTGCCTACGTAACTTGCTACGTGGCACTTTTACTTTAAGTCTCGAAGGCAAGACGTAACATTCGTCACGATTTTTCTCATTCTATTTATTTATATCTTTAACTTCTGAATTTTAATTGAAATTGGCTCAAATGGTTCGTAACCTATAGGATTGTGGCGCTAATGGTCCCTAACCTTTAAATCTTGGTACAAACATCCCTCACCTTTCACTTAGTTGGCGTATTCAGTCTCTTGAATGACCTTCCAATTGACTGTCAAAAAGGTCATTTTTTGGATACAGACTAAAATGACATAAAATTTAATTAACTAATAAAATAGATAGAATAAGTGAAAAAGAAGTATTAAAAAAAAAAATGCAGATAACTCATCTCATAAGAGTATTTTCAATGCAACCATGAATTGCTTTAAAAATTGTCATATAAGCAAAATATGATATATAAAAAAATATGCGGCGGAGAAAAAGTAGATAAGAGTAATTTATATCAAAATTTTGTCCTATTTTAACGGTAAATTTCCTCCTGTGGACGCACCTGAGTATGGCCCAAGACAAGAAGAGAGGGTATGTCCATATAACCAGGCAAAAAGGTAGAAAAGGAGAAGTGTATTTCCCAGTTGACCATAATCGATCATCATACTGCCGGCCAAAAACTGCAAGAACAGAAAAATCTGCGAATTCGAGCAAATCCCAGGAAGTACCATGTCTAAATTTCAAAAAGGGAATCTTAAGACCAAATTTCCTACATAAAAAACCACAACAAATCTGAAGAATCAAAGGCAGAAACATCAGAATTCCTAAAGACATTATTCATGGCTTTAGTAAGACACAACCACCTCGTCCGACGTGATATTGTGATGAATATACGTGCAAAAATTATCAAGATTTACAATAACAATTCAACTAGCACAAAATCAGTGCAATAACTGGTACAAGAATAGGCACAAACTTAAAATAACGGAACATACACTCGGCAATATGAGAAATTGTCAAATATGATAATTCTTGGCCTTGCCTTGAAAAAAAAATCAACTCTCACCATGGCATCATTTATACAGTCACATCATAATATAAAATACCTCGACTTTCTATCATGTTTACACCCCTAGTACTTTTACCAACATATAATTCCTCTGCGCAGGCATCAGGAACATTCAACCTTTGAGCCTCAGCTTACTAGACTCTATATGTATAAACTTAGAACTACAGTGTACAGTTTTTAATATAGGAAACTTCTTTATTTGCAATTAGCTCGCAATTTTGTAAAAGATAGGTACGAGCCAGAGAAGCAAAACGAAAGCAAAAGGACGAGAGGTAGCTCAAACTAGACTCGGTCAGCTGTACACCTACTTCCTTTCCTACAGCACCTAAGCGACATTTGGGGACAGAGCAGCAATTCTCCTCTCTGCAAGCAAATGAATTAATAGGTTAAAGAGTTACCTATACAAAGACTTGTACTGCACTAAACAACTACTATAGTGAACAGAAATTATCCATCATTCAAATTAAATTCTCTACACAACCCGATACTTTAAGCCATGAGGAATTGTACTGAAACTTGAGGTGAACTGTGCATAAGGTCGTGTAATGGGGCCAAACTTTTGATAAAATGAACGTGAAAGGATGTTTAAATTGAGTTTTTTTCTTTTCATATCAAACAAAAATTCCAATACAATTTCTGGCATATTTTTCTGTAAACATGTTCCAACGTGTCTATATCCTACTTCTCCGAAAGATTACACGTGTTGGTATTTCTTAGCTATTACGAATATAAAAGCTTTCTCCTTTCACAAAGTACTCTAGGAGACTCTCTCTTGCTAAGTATATCAGTTCCTTGGAGTGAGAAGAAGGAATTCAGTGGTTCAACATAAGCTGAAACAACAAAGGGCTCGTGAAAAAAACAATGCCAAATTAATAACAAGTTAACAATTGCTTACCCCCAGCAGCAACAAGTTTCTCTACTCGAGCTACAATATGCTTCCCATACGTGTACTTCTTCAGTGCAGTCAAATGAACTTTTATTCTTGACAGGATCAGTTCACGCTGCTGATCGCTACAAGTTTCAAGTACTTTCTGTACAACGTAATTAGCAAATTGATCTTTCATCATAGCCTGGAAGCAAAAAAAGGTTAAAATAGTTAGAAAATAAGTTATCATGTAGATAAGAATATAACTCAGGAAAAGAATCAATAATTTCCTAAATTTTACAGTGGCTACAAGAGGAAAAATTCAGAATGGGGACCCCAAATTTGCATGTACTCGTCATGCGCAATCTAGATGAACATTCTCACTTGTCATTAATATCATCCGCCACCAGTTTGTCACTATATAGTTATATTTAGGGGTGGACAAAACCCGACCGAACCCGCCCAAACTGAACCAACCCGATCGGTTTGGGTTAGTTTTTTTGTTGCCTTTACACGAGTTGGGTGGGTTGGCTATGTAGGTGGGTCAAGTTGAGTCGGGTCAGGTCGGGTCGGGTTATGGGTTAACTCATGAAAACCGAATAAACCGGCCTAACCCGACCCACCTACTTTAAAAAAAAAAAAAAGAAAAAAGAAATAAAATGCCTAAAAAGTATGAGTAGATAGTGTAACTCTAATTAGTTTGGTATATTTTAAAAGAGGAGTTTACTCTCATTCCCACAAAAAATGTAGTTATGTTAAATACATTTTTTTCTTTGTAGGCTCGGCTAACGAGGATTGAATAAGATAATAGATAATTTTATTTATTTACTTATTATTTAATCTTGTCTATTCGAATTTAGTATAATAGACAATTTGATGACTTTAATTTTTGTTAACAAGTTGTCCCAAATCGACCAACCCAACCCGACCGATACTTGATCGGATTGGGTTTCAACCTTTACATGGGTTGGGTTGGGTTAAATTTTGATCAAATCGATCATGTTGGGTTGGGTTTGGGTTGAGGCAAAAACCAACCCGACCCGACCCAACCTACCCCATGCCCACCCCTAGTTATACTACACAGACATGAATGGCAAGATTCAAAATTCATCCCATAACTTTCTCAGGTACGCAATACAAACCAAGGAAAAGAAACAAAAGGGATATTCATTTTCCATCCCAGCCCCACTTGTATGAAGGGAGAAATAGAAGACAGTGGTAAGGAATTCAAAAGAGTTATTGCCCACCATAATGAAAAAAATCCAGAACTATAATCAACATTGACTTCGCTAGATTCATTTGGTTAATGATGTTTACACACACACACACACATAAGATGTTGCAAAATATGACATTATACAGCTAACATAATTTTTTTTGGTTTCACTTGACACTCCAAACAAGAGTCTCTTTCCACTTTATCGCCTTCCTACTTTCTCTAACAAAACAAAAGTTTTTCCTCCACTCTCTTCTCTCCCTATCCTTTCACTCTTCTCCCCCGCCCACGCCCAAAAAAGAAGCATTTCTTCTACACCAGCCATCAAAGTAGTAACCATAGGTCTCAATTTCATAAAATCCTAACCATTAATTAAAAAAGCAAAATATATATGCAAATACATAATCATTTCCTTACGACTTTCTCTGTCAAATGGAACACGCGTTTTTCCTTCACTCTCTTCTCATCTCCCTATCCTTTCACTCTTCTCCCCCACACCCAAAGATAAAAAAAAGCATTTCTTATACACCCGCCATCAATGTAGTAACCACAGGTTTCGATTTCAAGAATTCCTAAGAATTACTTAAAGTCCCATCCCGTCTAAAGACCTGGAAGAATTCGTTAAGAATAACAAGACGATTGGAATCATCTTAAATAAAGACAAGCAGTACTTACAATTGCAATTTTGCAATAAGATTTTCAAACTCCTACAAGTCTGTTCCCTCCTCTTAATTTAACATAAAGTTTGAATATCCAAGTTCAGCTAGTAATATACGAGATATTGAGCCCACATTAAAGACTAATACGATTGGATTCAACATCAAACTTCTTATACTATTTTTTTAAGGTACTAGAATTTTGCCTAGAGCCTCTTTGAGCCCCATTCTTTCCCCCAAAATGCATTTTGGAATAGTATTTTTATGGAGAACATGTGGTTAAAAAATAAGGGAAAGTTTTGGATTTACGTGTAATATTATTTTATTGAAGAATGTGTGGTTAAAAATAAAAGAGAAAAATATATTTTGGGAATTATGGGGACCAAACAAGGGCTAAAACTTCCACATAGTAATACAAGTCTTTAGAATTTAGATCATCTGCAGGAAATTGGCTTTTTTATGTTTGTTCTTCAGGGTTATCAGAAGGAATACAGTTTGGAGTACAAGAATGGAACTGCACATGGGAAAATATTCTCGGGTCCATTCCCTACATTTTCTTTAGATATCCAGACAACACAGAGTTTGATGGTGGTGGTGGTGGTGGTGGTGGGGCACCAGTGGGAGTTTGACGGTTAAAGAACGGAGCCAAACATCAACTCAGAGGCAAATCGAAAACTCCAAAGCCAAACTCAAACCTAACATGATTGCTGGAAGTAAGCAGATTTATTGACGCAAAGAGTAACGAACCTGAAGAGGCTCATTCTCATCAGTTGTTCCAAGCATCTTGCTCACTAAGAGTTGATGTTCACTTGGATCCCCAAAAGTTAAACACTTCTCTACGACATTTGAGGCAAACTTCTGCTGGCTCATTTGAACTATCATTCCAGCCAATTCTTGAATTATTGCAGTACGCTCGTGTGGTTTTCCATGCTCCACTACATGCTGTCACAAGGAAACTCAGAAATAGTTATAGTTTCAACAATTAGACAGAATTGTGTCAAAGTCACCTATGTAATGTGTTTTGATTACGAAGGATTGACTAATGCAACGAGTACGAAACATCCATATAAAATAAAAGATTCACATATAAGCAAAAAAATCATGTTGCTAATAACAAGCATAAAAAACCTTCAAAAAAACTTCAAAATAGCAAAAGCATTCACAAATAAAATTCACTTCAAAGTAATCAACACAAGATCCTTAATATAATCAGATATATAAAGTTGGAAGCTAACAGCATATAATGTGCCATACTATAAAAAGACTTACAAACCTGAATAACATAATTGCCATACTGATCTTGTGCCAACATGCTTACAGACCCAAGAATTTCTTCCATCACTTTGCTCTGGGTTTTTGGGTCCTTACAGTGTTCAAGTACTCTCTGTCGCATTGCACAAGAGTTTACAGAATTCAGACCCTTAAAAACGACTGGCCTGGAACTTCAAAAATTCAAACTAAGAACAACTTTCTCTAACCTGTATCACACGGCACCCATATGGATGAGTGGAGAGAGTCACAACTTGGTCAAAAAATGTTGAGATAATAAACTGAATATGCTCTTTCGGTACACATTCAATGCATTTTTGTATCACATGGTTTCCATTTTGATCACGAACACAACGTGTGATACGACCATCAAGTTCTTCTACCATTTTGATCTTCTGATCTAAATCAACAACTTCTATTGCCTAAATTATGAAACGAAGTCCACTAAGATATTTGGCATCAGATTTTCAATTAGGTGTAGCATAGTTACAAACATTATAATCAACAGAACAAATGCGAAGGATAGAGTGAAAATACATATAGCATCCTCAGACTACATGTCACAGACAGAAGTTATGCACAATCTAATAAGGCATACATGATAGTCAACAAATGCATTTTCATGCAAAGTTGTTACCTTTTGAATCACCCGACAACCATACGTTTGAAGGCTTAGTGTAAGTACATGTCCAAAAAGTTCGCTAGCCAACTCTCTTCTCTGAGATGCCATTCCATGTTCAAAAAACTGAAAAGACCAAACTTAGCACTAGTTTATGAACCAATAGACTCTAAAAGCTCAGGGCTAATTATGAAAGTGACTGAAGAAAGGACCAGAGATCTTGGATACCTTCTGAATTACATAATTTCCGAACACATCCGTCATCAAAGTAAGAGCCTGAGGAAATATTTCCTGAAAAACCATGTTCTTCTCTTCTGTTGTGGCAGTCTCAAGTTTTTGTTGAATGAATCGGCTTCCGTATTGATCGGCACTGGACACGGGTATAAAGACTAAACAAACTATATTTCAAAAATCATAACTAGTAAGGTAGGCCAATTTGAGCAAGACATACCTGAACTCGACAACATGACCAGCAATATCTGAAAGTTCGAAGCATTTGGTTTTATTACTTTTAAACTCCTCCAGCAGAGATGAAGCAAAGCTGTTCTCCATGTAAGGTCCCATGACACCCCAAGCTAGGTTTCTCATCTCCCCAGGGTATCTCATGTTGAATTCACCATGCCCCATGGGGCTACCAGGTCCCATAGGAGAATCTGGAAGTACAGAATTTGCCAGGGGACTTCCAGGATAGGACAACCCAATGGCAAATGCAGGATTTCCGTAGTAGCCATGCGGACTAGAACTATTCTTGCTACCGAAGGTCACACCAAACTGTGATTTATGTGGAGATATCTGAGAACCAATATAAGCTTTCTGGAGTAAGTCCATGTACGAATTACCCATGCAGTTTACATCGACAGAAGGATCATTAAGAGCTGTAACCTGTGATGCAGGACACTCAGCTGCTTTCAAGTACTGAAGATACAAAGGGTCGACGAAAGGTGCCTGCAGCACATTCCTTGACATCTGATTTCCCATCCAACCGAGGTTCTGTTCGAAGGAAAGAGCACCTAGATTTGACCCCCCCAACATCATATAATCCATCCCCGTTACAGCCATAGCAGATGCAGTAGCGGCATTCTCAAACAAAGGAGGCAAATTCGAATGGCCAAGTTGGTTTGATATTGGACTTGTGGGATAGTCACTTAAACCATAATTAGAAAATGATAGATTTGGACTATATAAATGCTGATTTGGACTATGTGGACTATGTGAATGCTGATATTGAGAAAGTACGCCACTCCCACCATTAACTGTGGAGATTGAAGATCCTTTCAGGTACGAGCTATTAGAAGGAACAGTTTTGTGAAGCTCAGATGGAAGGGAGGAGTTGCTAAGATCTGAGCCACTGCCATTGCTTACACTAGACTCAGAAACCATCGTTTTTGCCGACTGGGAAACATAAGGCATATGGAACTGCCCAGATTCAGATTTCTCCATGTATGTGTGATGCTTTGTGATATTCTGACCACCCGGAAGATTGAAGAAATAATTCTTATTGTCATCGACATCCTGTTCAATCTGAGATGGCAAAGGATTCTCCTCATCCATAACGCCATTTGAAACATTCAGGCCTGACAAAGAAGCTTCAAGATCTGTAGACTCATTTGTGTGAGATGAAATGACGTTGAAGGAGTTGGGACTGTTAACGTTTCTCAGTCCAGAAGCGCTCACCCTGCCTCCTCCAATGGGAGTAGGGCAAGGACTAGGACCCCGCGCAATATATTGAGGATCAGGAGTCCAGCTTCTTGACAAGGAACCACCCATTACAGCAGCATAAGTATACGATACAGGCGGTCCAACATGTTCAGTAGCAGATGAGACATGAGTATTTGAAGCAGAGCGTACAGGGTCTGGAGATGTCAAATTGTGAAGTGTATAACCCAGCTCTACCTCAGCCGAACTCAAAGGATCAGCATTCTCATCAATAGCATTTCGACTTGCTGGGCATGAAGGACGTGTAGATAATGGAATAGCACGGTTCAAGTCATCCTGCACAGATATCAAGAGATATAATGAATCACAAGGGTCAAGGGGAAAACTATTTTACAGGAATAATAGAGTTCATAATATCAGAACTGCGACCTAGTGCAACTTCCTATCAACGTAGCATTCTTGCTACTACGTCATACAGCAATTCACATGGAAAAAAAAGGGTCCAATGTTTTTAAATACTACTTTAATGCACTTCACCCATAATGACAATATAAAACACAACAATAGAAAAGGATCAAAAGCAAGAATTCCTGAATTCTTTTCAAGATATATATGAGCCAGAAGATCTAAAAGCTTAATCATTAGCGGAGTTTCAAGACAAGTCCTAATATATATCAGCTTGAAAGGATTAAAAAGATGATTACAACAATCCAGATCGATGATTTTAACCATGAAGCGTGCAAATTAAGACATTAAGGCCTTGTTTGATTTGGATTAAAATCAAATTAAAAATTCAAGTAAGAGTAAACAATTAATTTAACCACACATTTCATCGGACCTACAAATTTTCAACCATACATTTTATCAACTTTTATCAAAATCTATTAAAAATCTAATTTTAATGTACACCAAACAAGGGCTAAGATCAGGTTACATTATGTGAATTTTCGGGATTGATGGGACCAGATAAGTGGAAAAAAATTATTATAATCAGGATTTGCACATTTACAAATTTGATAATGTAAATGTCGCCATTGAGAACCACTCTAGCTTAGGTCACTAGCGTATTGCAGCAATACTGGTTCCACAAATTCAGATATACTATTTTTAATCAAAATCATAAGATGATCAAGGATTTAAGAAAATTTGTATGTCTACTTTCACACAGCAATTATATTGGAGTCACAGGGCAAAGATAGTGGTGAAATAAAGTGAGAAATGGGACTCTTATCTAATTTTACACTGCAATCAAAACTTCTATTATTCCAAAAGTAATAATTGGAGATTATACTCAGTATTGGGAAGCGATATAGAAAATTAAATTTTCATAGTAAAATACGTCTCCACGATGTAGCAAACTACTGTATGCAGCCCGGTGGGGGGAAGGGAGGCAGATTTATATATATATATATATCAAAATTGCCAATAGGAAGTTCGGTGAAGGCATAGAAAGGAGAAATTTATCTGTAGACATACAAACTTGAACATTCAGGTCCATAAATGACATTGAACATGGTAAAGAACAAAGCCGAAGAACAATTATGGAGTCATGGATTTTCAAATTTAGCATAATCAGTATATGTAAGATAGAAAAGGTCGGTGATCTTCAACATCAAGCACTGCATCGCATTCTTCAGAGAAGAAAGAGTGTATCCAATGAACATTTTTTTCATAAATTGCATTCTCCGGAGAAGAAAGAATATATCCAATGAACAATTTTTTTGTTTTTAATAAATCAAAGCAAATTTGTCCAACTTATTCACCTGAAATATTTCAGCTAGACTCTTCTGTTTATTGCCTAGACCTAGTCCAGGCAAACCAATGAGTCGGCCACCACCCCACTCCACAGAACCCTGCACTTTATCAGCCTGATTATCAGACTCTTGCTTCTTCGGATTGAACCCTGGTGGCATTGAAAACAGAGATGTCCCTCCACCACCATTATCACTTTGAATCGCCTTCCTCCTATCCCCGTTTGCAGAATTCCCTACTTGCAGCCTCTGTGCAAACCGCCAATCCTCCCTAGACGTTAAAGGGGGCGGTAGCCTGGGGTTTAGATTGACGTTCGAGTAATAGTAAGAGGAATATAAAGGATCAGACCTAAGATCTTCATCAGACATAAACGCATTCCCATTCTTGTTCCTAATAAACTCAGCAAAGGCTGAGCCACCACTGTTTCCGCCACCAATACCGTGGTTGAAAAACCCACCCACAGCATTCAGTGAACCATCCACAGTAGGTGGAGCTGACCCGCTCCTGTATAAATTCAGCTCCTTCTCGAGATCATCAACCTCCTGGCGCCGCTGTTCATGAAGCACCAAACCTATATCCTTAATCAACTCATCTCCAAAAGATTTTTCATTGTTTCTGAGCATCGGCCTACTACCCAATTCAGATAACATTTTGTTTTACAAACATTTATTCACACTCATTCAACGAAAAAAAGATCAAATTAACACCAACACCAAAAAAAGTAATAAATACCATGGCTTTATTATTCCAAAACATTATAAAGCCAAGAAAATAATATGAAAAACCCAAAATTTAAAGTTTCCACCTCAAACCTCCAGGATCAACCACAAAAATAAATTTAAATTCGCTCATATAATCCTGGTACAGTAAACAAAACAAAAAAAATCAACTTTAAGCAAAAGATCCTCCCTTTTTCCCATTGAATTTCAAAAAAATAATTCTAAGTGAGCAAATAAGTGAGTGACAGGGCGCAACGGAGCAGAGAGAGGATTATAATTTTTTTATTTCAAGTTTTATACTAGAAAATCATCCTGGCGGCGAATTGCACTTACAAAAAACCCTATAGGGTTTTGAGTGTCAATTACTATTATTCACAGAATTAAATTGGGAATTCAACTGTGACTGGGATTTTGTATATGCACACCATAACATACTTCCTATCTGAGCTTATAACTAAACTGCAAGGTCCATTTGATTTGGATAAAAATCAATGTTATAAAAAGAGAAAAAAAGTGAAGAGAACTAGGGAATTATAATCAAAGCTAAATATCTATATTGAATGGGGATACATATGGTAATAATATCTAGGACTGTAAGGTGTACAATTGTCATTCACAAATAACTTACTATTTACAACACTCCTTATTGAATGACACATTACAAAATATTTGTCTCGTTAAAATTTTGTTTGATAAAACCCCAATAGGACAAAAGAAATCAAAACGAAGGAAAAATAGTATGACATGTTACAAAATATCTGTCTCGTTAAAACCTTTTTTGTTAAAATCCAATGGGATAAAAAAAAAATCAAAACGAAGAATAAAGAGTACAGTTATTTTGGAGTATTAAAGATAAATGTTGTCTTATTAAAACCTTGTTAGGAAAATCCAGTGGGATAAAACCTAAGCGAAGGAAAAAGAGTACAGCTACTCTCTTGATGTTGATCATTGAAAATCTTTAAGTCGATGCGTTCCAATCATGTGAACCAATTTCTTGAATGTAGATGTTGGCAGTGCTTTTGTAAATAAATCAATCAAATTGTCACTTGAACGAATTTGTTGAACATCGATGTAGCCATTCTTTTGAAACTCGTGTGTATGAAAGAATTTTGGAGAAATATGCTTCGTCATGTCACCTTTGATATAGTCTCATTTGAGTTGTACAATACAAGCAGCATTATCTTCATACAAAATTGTTAGAGTATCTTTTGTTGAAATTAATCTGCATGATGCTTGGATATGATTGGTCATATTCCTCAACCATACACATTATCGGTCTGTTTCATGGATTACAATAATTTCAGAATGATTTGAGGATGTTGCTGTCAATGATTGCTTCACAGATCTTCATGATATTGCAGTTCCTCCACGTGTAAACACGTATCCTGTTTGTAATTTAGCTTTATGTAGGTCAGAGAGATAACATGTATCTGCATATCCCACTAAAGCAGATCCCGACTTTTGAGAATAAAATAATCTCAAATCAATAATACCGTTTACGTAACGAAAAATATATTTAACACCATTATAATGTTTTTGTGTTGGTGTAGAGCTATATCTTGCAAAAAGATTTACAAAAAAAAAAGTATGTCGGGTCGAGTGCAATTTACAAGATAAATTAATGCTCCAATTACACTAAGATATGATACTTCAGGACCAATAATTTTTTTCTCCATCTTCAAGTGGACGAAAATGATCATTTTTTATATTAAGTGATCGAACAACCATAGGTGATGTCAATGAATGTGCATTATCCATATAAAATCCTTTTAAAACTTTTTCTGTATATGTAGATTGATGAACAAATTATCCTTCTGGGAAATGTTCAATTTGCAACCCGATACAGAATTTGATTTTTCCCAAATCTTTCATCTCAAATTCATTTTTCAAATAATATGCACTTTTGTTGAGCTCTTCAGAAATTCCAATTAATTTTAAGTCATCAACATAAACTGCGACAGTTGCAAATCCAATATTTATTTTCTTAATGAAAACACATGGGCAGATATTGTCATTTTTATAGCCTTCTTTCAACAAATATTAGCTAAGACGATTATACCACATTCGTCGAATTGTTTCAATCCATATAATGATCTTTGCAATTTAATTGAGAACATGGTTCTTATGTATGTATCATTTGTTTCTTGCACTTTAAGTCCTTCAGGGACTTCATATATATGTCACTATCAAGTGAACAACACAAATAGGCAGTCACTACATCCATAAGGCGCATATAGAGCTTTTGTGACACGGTCAAACTAATTAAGAATCTAAAAGTGACGGTATCCATTACGGGAGAATATGTTTCTTCATAATCAATTCCTGATCTTTTTGAGAAACTGACACGCCGAAAATGTATTCGACTTTGATTACCGTAAGTGTACAGATCGTTCAAGTAATAAAAATAGATTTTGAAGTCCAAGTATCGTTCCCACAGAGATCGAGTTAGTTCAAGTTTTGATTATCTCGACCTTAACCGAAACTAAGTAGATTCAATGAGATGATTCCGGTATGAAATTATCTAAATTATACTATGAAAACAAATTTATATGAAAGTAGACAAACTAGATGAAAAAATAACGTTTGAATGCAAATACTTAAAGTAATTTATGTATGAAAAGCGTACTAGGATCCCGAATCACCAAGTAAGTTCACTTTTAACCTTTATTTCACAATTTGATAGCACGGTGAATTAATTGAAGAATCAATATTCCTAAAATATTCAACATTCTCTTTCGAGTGGAGTCAAACATATTCTCGCATACCATTTGACTATATTTCTATGACAAATGCCAATATACAAGAACGCATAACGTTTTATGAACACTTAAAGATTCACGTAAAGCATAGGGGTATATTTCTATCCCCTATCGAATCCTACGATGATTTATACCCTGTAGAATCTATTCACTTTCTTTCGAATGCCAGAAATAGACCACACAAACTCGCATAATGACATGTATTTAATTATGGAGACAAATAAAGTGTATATAAACCATTCAATATTCATCATTCGTGTTTAAAATCAAATTGCAAAATAAAGAATTAAAAGTTCACATTATAGAAATTACACCATGCAGCTGCATGGTACACTCACTTTCAAAATCTTCATTTTGGTCCTTCATTTTTAGTTTTATCTTTTATTGACCTCTTTTGTTCATTCTTTTCCTCAAATCATCCCATGACTCCCTCAACTTATGATTAAAGTCGTGCCCGCTCTTGAGTTGGCCTTGTGTCATCTTTTGGTTATTTACATTTTGGTCCCTGAACTTTTATTTTCCTCATTTTTAACCAATGTTCTCCATTTTCCTCAAGTTTCCACCACAATCTTCATTATTGTCCTACAAACACAAATTACACAAATTAAGCTCTATTCCAACCATTTATCAACAATTATTCATGTTTGTGACCCGAAATAAATGTATAAAAACGCCCTTATCAGAAACCTTGAGCTACGAGTCGGGCCTTGCATCTTGTAATTTCATTATTTTCATTTCTTTTTCGTACAAAAACTCATTTGTGTTCAACAGAGATTACATTTTCAGGTGTTCGAACTACAGGTCCAAACACTTTCCATTTCTCTAAGGAATTCAATTCCGCCTGTATGACTTCTTATCATTTTGGCCAATCATTTCTATTTTGACATTCTTGAACAGACAGTGGTTCAAGATCCTCATTTTGCATAATATCAAGAGTCACGTTAAATGCAAAAATATTGTCTATAACAACATTATTTCGCTCTCATAATTTATGAGATAACATATAATTTATTGAAATCTCATTATTTTTGGACACTTGTGATTCTTCAAGAACCATATTTTTAATATTTGATTGATCAATTTCTCTAATGTTATTTTTTCTGAAGTTTTTGGTTGGTTTTTCTCTTGTACTTTTCTTTTTCGAGGTACAGAGTTTTTGGAACCAACTGGTCGACCACGCTTCTAACGTATTTGAGATTTATTTGCTATAGCAAATTGTCATGCAAGGACATCAATTTTTGCTGAAATATTTTCTGCTGGTATATGTGATTTTGTCATTTTTCTTATATCAACAAATGCATCTGGTAATTGATTTGCAACTCTTTGCAAATGAATGATTTTTTCAACCTCTTACTCACATTGATTGCTGCGGGAATCAAAATGAGATATAACAAGAAATTTTACTTTGTTTATCAGGATATAGTTTTTCCCCTCCCAAAATTGAGAAAATCATTTCATCAAAATGACAATATGCAAAACGCGCAGTAAATAAATCACCTGTTAAAGGTTCGAGATGTCTAATAATAGATGGTGAATCAAAACCCACATAAATTCCAAGTTTTCGTTGGGGACCCATTTTAGTCCGTCGTAGGGGTGAAATAGGGACTTGAACAGCACAACCAAAAATCCGTATATGAGAAATATTAAATTCATGACCAAATGCTAGTTACAAAGGTGAATATTGATAATATGCAGTTGATCTGATACGAACCAATGACGCAGCATGCAATATGTCATCATCCCAAACAGAAGTTGGGAGTTTTATTTTTATAAGTAATGATTGTCTAACAATAAGTTGTAGACGTTTAATAAATGACTCTACTAAACCATTTTGTGTATGAACATGCGCAACCGAATATTCAACAACAATCCCAATTGACATGCAATAATCATCGAATGCTTGTGATCTAAATTCACCAGGTCAAGATGAATAGTCTTGATTGAGTAATTGAGAAATTGCGCACGTAATTTTATGATGCATTGTCAAGACGAATAGTCTTGATTGAATAAGCAAAAAATTGCGCACGTAATTTTATGATTTGAGAAAGTAGTCTAACAAAATCTACATTCCAGTAGAAAGTAGGCAAATATGTGACCATCTAGTAGAAGAATCAATTAATACCATAAAATAAAGAAATGGTCAACATGGTAGGTGTAATGACCCACATATAT